TAAAAATCACGCATATTTTTATATATATGTTTATATTAATTAAATTGTAGTTTTATCTTTTCTATAATATCAAATTCATAATTTTATCTTTTTATTTTTAAATATGTAATTCTAATCCTTCAATTTTATTAAATAAGTAATTTTAATCCTTTTTGATAAATTTTTATTTATCGTTAAAATTATAATGTTAATCACAATTTAATATTAAGTAGAAATTATAGCAATTAATACTATTGGTCATAATTATAAATAACAAATTAGAAATTTTTTTTTGTTCTAATTATAAGTAATAATCATTAATTTTTAAAGTTACTCAAAAGTAAATTTCTTTTATACCCTTAATTAATTACTAACTCTATTTTTATAGATTCACTTATAACTAACATTAAATATAACATTCACTTGAAATAAAATTAGAATTAATAGCATAATTAATTAAAAATAACCTACTTAATTACTTTTCTTATTCTTGATGATTTTTTTTTTATCTTTTTATAATTAGCATCAGAGATGATATTTAATACTCTCTCTATTCTCTATTATAAAAAAGATAATATATATTTCTTATCCTTAAATATAATATATATATATATATATATATTATTTTTTTTATAATAGAGAATAAAGAGAATATTATTCAAACTATTACTTTTAGTTTTTATTATACGATAAAAATGAGAATTATTAATATAATTTAACTTAAATATGATAAATATTAATTATTGTGCCATGATATTAGGTCATAAAAGACGTTATATATTTAATGATCAATGAAATAAACATTCTAATAAAGGACCAAAATTGTAAACTTTATAAGATTAATGACTAAAATTACAGATTTTAAAATTAAAAAACTAAAAATAATGAATTTAATAATATAAAGAGACTTAAAAACATAATTTAACTACTTATATTTATTAGAATATAAATAAAGTCTGACATAAAATCCTTTGATAATTAAATGACAAAAAAACAAGTTATAAAAAAATAAATTTAAGAATGGAAATGAAAAATGAAAAATGAAAATGGGTTGCTAGGTTAGTTAATGATAACCTGATATATGGAAAAAAGAGATGCACGTGGAATTGGACCTCGGTGGAATGCGCACGCGGATTCTTATGCATACATTACATGTGCGTTTGAATGAGTTTGTCCGTTTCCTCAGCCTTCAACATCACATGCACTTTACAATTACACTCACACACCAATCCAACACCATCTAATCTTATGTGCATGTTTAAGGAACTTTCCAAAATCTCACACAAGTTTTAGTCCTAAATAAAGTCTCACTCTTCGTTGTGAAGATCTTTCAAAAGTGCTAGCTTGTTTGGGTTCGACAATTACTTAAACTTTGTTCTTCAAGGAGACTTACAAAAAAATTCTAATATTATATTTTGGTATATGGTTAGAAAGTGTAAATATAGATTATATCAATATATAATATATATTGTTAAAATTTTATTCAAAACTAATAACATTAAAATTATATATAACCATGTGTCAAATAGATTTATACTTACATATTTTATATCTATATCAATATTTTTTATATGTCACTGTATATAACACTTTTTATAAAGGAAAAAATAACTATTCTATAAAAATATTTATTATTCACACACCAAACAATATATATAAATCACATTTTACTCTCTAGTAATAATTTACATTAAAATTCCTACTAAAATATTACACCATTAATAACTTAAATCAACTATATATTTTTGTATGTTAATTTAAAAATATATATTGTGTGGATTTTGATATATAAATGAGATATTAAAATATTTATATTCCGTTCATCAAGAATAGAATCTCTAATTAGTTAAGTATAAATATTTTTGAAAAACTTCTTCACAAATTTGATCAAGTTTCATATTGAGAGGGTTAGTTATTATTTCAATAGATAGTGTCATTTTCTATACTGTATTAAAGATAGTACAGTACATATCATATATATATATATATATATATATATATATATATATATAATCACTTGATTAAATCTCAAATTTTCTCTCATTTGATTAATCTAAGGGTTATATTTTAACCATCTCATCTCTCATAATAAATTCTCTGTCACTTGATATACTCAATATATATATATATATATATATATGTGAAACAAGAAAATTATTGATATAGCATTTGTTATATATTCAATAAGCAACAGTTTTAATTTGAGAGTATGTAGCGTTATTTGTGAAGTTATTTTTGTCCATTGCTTAAAGGAACATAAAAGTGCAGGGTCTTGCACTAATAAAAGATATCAGTGGAAGAAAGAAAGGAATCTCATTCTTCACCTTTAGTAAAAAATTACAATTCTCTTAGAATATTCCTTATGCTCTTAACTTCTTTTCTATTGATATTCGACAAGAATGTAACATTTTTCTTATTGTATATTATTCTTACAATTTTTTTATCAATAAAAATATTAGAACAATTACGATAAAAATCAAATATAAATTTTCATGCATTTACATTAACTCCTTTCACAAAGTCAATCATAATATTTTGTATAAAAAATAAATAAAGTGCTTTTTCATTTTAATGATTAAAAATGTAGATCACAGATAGATTCACACAAAAGAAATAAATATGTATCTAATTTAGCTTCCATCTCAAAGTTAATCATAATATTTTGCATAAAAAATAAATAGAAGTACCTTTTCATCCTAATTAAAAAAAATATATATGCATACATACATGTACATGCACATGCATGCATTTTTAAAATAAAAAAAAAAAAACTATTTTGTCTTATCAGTTTTTACTTTATTTTCCCTCCTGTACCTTTCAAACAAATCAAATGAAATTATATTACTTTAGTTCTATTTAGTTTCTTCAAATTCGAAATATGGAAATTAGATTAAAAAATGTTAGTAACATTTTTATTTATATTAAAATCATTCAAAATTTTAATATGATATTTATTATTTTTTATTTATAAGAAACGTGTAATATTGTTCTAAAATAGAGAAAAATAAATAATATAAATTGATATTATAATAAGTTTATAACCAAAGTAAGAACATCATTTTTCTTTCTAAATAGAAAAATGAAAATGAATGGACATCAACATATGTAACTAAGTTGACTACTTAAGTTAGTTAATGTCCAAAAAATAAAGAAATTGTACGTAAAACAAACATGCTAGTTTAATAAGATTTCTATTTTCAGAACATCTTACATATAACTTCAGATTGATGAAATATAGTTCACTGAATCACTGCATAAATGAATATCTAATTAACTACCATATATGCAATCAGAACAAAGGTAGTAAGACATGCATAGCTGCATGAGAACACATCAAAGGTTATATCTTGCATGGCAGCTGATTCCCATGTGGTGCAATTTCAGATATTATAAAATGATCAATTTAATCTGTAAAATTATGATTTTGTTCTTTTAATTATAAATATTTTTAATATTATCATTTAAATTTATATTATATACAATTTTAAGACTAAATTGAGTGTAAATTATAATTTTGGAAACTTTTTTTAATGTTATTTTTAGAAATTAAAATGAAAACAATCAACTGATGGATAGACATATAAGTTGTTAGTCACCATGCATTCACATAGTGAGAAGGATTTATTTAACAAAAAATTTACTTTTAATTATTGTTGTATTCATAATATTGAGGTTAATATTAAATATAGTATATTGAGTGTATTGTACTAAAAAAAAATTAGAAAATTACATTTCACAACTAAATTAAACATTTATTTTTAAAAAATTCTAAATGTATGATTCAAAATTAGAACAGAGACAAGAGATATGAAAAATATAATAAATAATTTAATAAAAATGAAAAGAAAATAAAAGAAAATAAAAAGAAAGAAAGTTAATTGAACTTTTATGATAACCCTTTTAATCTTTACCATTGATCATAGTTTTAAAAATCAGACCGGTCATCAAACCGGTTAAGGTACTAGGTCAGTGGGTTAAAGGTTGAACCGGTGGGTCATTAGTTGAACCGCATGACTCGATTTTTATTATTTTTTTTAAAAAAAATATTCGTGTTAAATATATTTTATACTTATAAATTTTAATAAATTTATCTTATTTTAAATTTCAATTTTTCTATCTTAGTTAAAATTATTTTTATTTTTATTTTGTAAAAAATACATAAAAAATTATATGTTAAACTGTATATTAATACAAATTAAAAATATAAATAATATGTACATATATAATATGCTTGCAATTGATATCACAAAATAATATATGTAATATCTACATAGATATTATATTATTAAATATATAATTTAAAATTAATAATATACTATAAATTTTATTTAAGTTGTATATATTACAAACAAATATATTAGAACAAGTAGTCATTGTTATATTTAATAAGACTCTTTCTTCTTTCATTAAGAGATTCAATTATTATTATTATTTTTATAGTTTATGATCTCTTAAAAAAATAAAAAAAAAATATATAAAAAAAGTGTGATTGAACTGGTTTGACCTACCGGTTCATCGGTTGAACCGAAAAATTAATCGGTGCAATACAGTTTGAAATAGATTGACTACATAACTGATTTAACTTAAGATTCGGACCGGCTGGACTACCGGTTTCCGGTCTAACCGGTCCGACCGACCAGTTAGATCCGGTTTTTAAAACATTATTTGATCTATTAAACTTTTACCATCTAGAAAGTGTAAGGAGAAAAGGTAAGAATGTAGATTCTTTTTCATTTAGCATTATTTTTCACTTATAATTATACTTTGATCTTTTCTAAATTTAAAATATTTGTTTCTCGCATGGCGTGGTTGGTGTCCCCACTCTCAGAAAAAATTAAAAGATCCATTTTGTTGTAAGATTCAGATTGGATCCTGCAGCAGCAAGTAGGTGAAGGACTGAAAGTGTAGTACCCTCAGATTTTGTTTTAAGTTAGCAAGTCAGAATAGTCTATTCCTTCAACAGTTTCCAAAATTTATTTATTCATTTATAAATTCTTCTTTTTCCCTTTGAAGGTAAACCTTAATCATTCTTTTGGTTTAGATAAGCAATGTTCCCTAAGAGAATGTTCAACCCTCCTGTTTCTCGCACCAAAAATAGTTCCTTGTACTCTCAGGTTCCTGCAAGATCAATTTTGAGCTTTTGTTCTTGGACACATAGTTCTGATAATACAAATCATGACATGCATATTTAATTCATATCTTTTTTTTTTTCTTTGCACTGTCATCAAGTGTGACTTTCTGCTGCTTCTGTGTTTTTCATTCCCTACTGTTTCCTTTGATATCTGATCTGGGTCACTTTCTTTTTCTTCTGGGGCCAGTTCTCAGTTTTCATCCACCCCATTTTACACTGCTTGCTTTGTGTTTGTGACTTGCTCTCACCAAATTCAAGGGAAATTCACTGTGTTTTTGTTTCTCTGGATTCATATTTGGTGCCAAGTTTGTTCATTTGGATGTAAGTTGTAAGCTGTAACAACCACTGCATAGGCACTTTACTTTTGGTTTTTCAGGTTACTTTGTTGCAATTGAGTGGTGAGGTTATCGTGATTTGTTTATATTTGGGGGAATGAAACAGATAGAGTAGTATAGGGTGGTTCTGGGGTTCAGATAATGGGATCTCAAGGTGGGGCAATCCAAGAGCCAAAGAGTGGCTCTTTGGCCAGGGAAGGGTCTTTGTACAATCTCACCCTTGATGAGGTGCAAAACCAGCTTGGAAATTTGGGGAAACCCTTAGGAAGCATGAATCTGGATGAGCTGCTCAAGAGTGTCTGGAGTGCTGAATCTGGAACTGATGCTTACATGCAGCATGGTCAGGTAGCTTCTGCTGGCTCATCTTTGACTCCACAAGGGAGCCTAACATTGTGTGGGGATCTTAGCAATAAAACTATTGACGAGGTTTGGAGGGATATGCAACAGAAGAAGAGTACTAGTAAGGAAAGACAACCTACACTGGGTGAGATGACCCTTGAAGATTTCTTGGTGAAGGCAGGAGTGGCTACCGAACCTTTTACTAATGAGGATAGTGCTATGGCTATGCCAGGGATTGATTCCCAACACAACACATCACAGCATGCCCACTGGATGCAATACCAGCTCACTTCAGGGCAGCAGCAACAGCAACAGCAACAGCAACAACAACAGCAGCAACAGCATCAGCAGCAAAATATTGTGATGCCAGGTTTTTCGGGTTTTATGGCTGGCCATGTGGTTCAACAGCCTATACCGGTTGTGGTGAATCCAGTTCTGGATGCAGGATACTCTGAAGCAATGCCATCCTCTTTGATGGGTGCTTTATCAGATTCACAAACTGCAAGTAGGAAAAGGGTTGCCTCAGGTAATGTAGTTGAGAAAACTGTAGAGAGGAGGCAGAAGAGGATGATTAAAAATAGGGAATCTGCAGCTCGCTCCCGGGCTAGAAAACAGGTTTATTTGTTTTTTGCATGGTGTTTTTGCTTTGAAGTCTTTTTTTTTTTTTTTTTTTTTTTTTTTTTTTTTT